TTTAAATTCGTGGGAGCGCCCCGAGGACTCTACGGAACGTCCACGTCATATTTCAGCTAAATTCGTGGGAGAGCCCCGAGTACTCTACGGAACGTCCACGTTATATTTCATTTTCGATGTCACTTTCAGCATTTATTTCCAAATGATGAATATTTTTTGTTTATTTTAATGCGGAAAGAGACTTCGAATTATCGGAAAGTTTAATTAGCAGATCGCACTATACAAACGGATAAATTCAATTTGCTGATTTTAATGTTTAAAAAAATATGTGAATGTTCAAGTCTTTTCGGCCTATGCGTTCAAATATTTACCGTGAAATTATGCTGTATTTGCATGAATTCACCTATATCTGAATCTGGCTGTAACACGTATGATAAGAATAGGCAACCATGTCCAAAGATCATATGCGAAAACCATGAACCAACATTTCGTTAAAATAAATAGTTGAAATCAATGCATTACACCTTGCTTATTATGAGGATCAACTTAGTCCCAATTGTTTCTGTCGTTATTAGCACAGCTTTCCTATCCCCAAAAGTTTTTTGTTTATAAAGGTGGGGTCCGCAAAGCGACTTTTCACAAATTCCTTCCTATAGAAACTTTCGACTAAAAACACAGATGTATCGGATAGTGGTTGAAGAAAAAAAAATGCGAATGATCCCAATCCTATTTTCTTCATTACATTAAAAGCAATAAAAGTTAACCATTCAACCAATAAAAGTAGTAAAAAAAAACATGGAAATAGATTATTTTATAGCTCTACATAAAGGTAATTTGCATTGAACTTATTATTCGGCTTACGATTCTGATTCCTTATTATGATAAGATAATGATTTAAATATAACGATATATATAATAGATAATGATATACATATACAAGATAATGACGTGGCCCCAGTCCACCCATGCACCAAGTACAGCGTCCAAGTTATTCTTGTTGTAGCTGAAGAGCGGCGTGGCACCTGACGCGAGCATCGCTGCATGCACGCGACAGCAAACCGAGAGCTGCCGTGTCCAACAGAGACATGTTTGTCAAGGAAATGTAACGCGTCTTTTATTGGGAGCTGTTATTTAATTATCGTAAATAAGGCAAGCAGATAAGATCGAGAGTAAATTCTAGTGAAAAAATGGTATTACATGATTGCACCAGCAAATTAGTAACTGCTGTATGATAATCAAAACTAAAATAGTGCCTCACTGTCTGCACGTTACGCTGGTGATATCTTTTGCTGAACCATCTGGCTCTAGAGAATCCACACAAGCAAAAAGTGTTGTATCATTTGGACAATACTCACACAATTCTTTGAGTGCTGGTATGGTTCTAACCTCGTTCGTAGATGTTCTAACCTCGTTCGTAGATGGTTCTAACCTCGTTCGTAGATGGTTCTAACCTCGTTCGTAGATGGCAGAGCCTGCCTGCCGGCGTCCAGGAAGGCCTCTTGCTGCTCGTCGCCGAAACGCACCACACGAGTCACGTCTTCAAGAAGCCTCGCTGAATAAATATCGAGTTTTTTATTATTTAATGTCTTATTATTCAAGTTAAACACTCAAGTTTTGAAATGCGTTCTATAAATAATTCTAAGGCTGCAAACTGTCTTATGGACCGATGTGCATGATGCTCAGGATGACATTTGTGACTCCTTAGTAAGTTTTTTAGTCCCCCCTTCATTCTATTCTCTTGATATTTTGAGACGTTTCACATTTATTTCTTTATAACACAATTGTAACGACGGGTAAATTAAGAACACATTACAACTGGAGAAATAATCACCCTACTTGATGTCGAACAAAACCCTGTTGCCCTTGAAACTCAAGTATAAAGAACGCGTTGCAAGCATAATTGTTTAACCTTATACTAAACTTCTGACGCAATAACGGGATGAATTAAATAGTCTAAATTAAATTAGAACGAAATAAAAAACTCACTTTTCCCACATTCGAGAGCAGGCACAAGCAAGAGAACAAGTAGACAACATGCAGCCATGGTGGCCGTAGCGCAGCAGTCAGGCCCCGTTGTGTTGGGGCGACGTCCCGGGTTGTTGATCGATATCAGCAAACATAATTACTGAGCATGTCAACATTGTGAACAGCATTTTAAATGTGTGTCTTGTGTTAACTTTACTATGTGAAAAATTTATATTGTGAACGGCATTTTAAATGTGTGTCTTGTGTTAACTTTACTATGTGAAAAATTTATGTGTTCCAACATCGGTTAAGTAGATTGTTAGAGCTCGCAGTTAAATTGAATTCAGTTTTATCGATGATGAACGTTTTAGCTGATGCTTGGCTGCATAAAATATACTAAATTGATCGTTTGTGCACCGGACAAGTTCACGTCTTAATAAATCAACAAATTTTTGTAAAAGTGACAGCATTGAAAATAAGCCAGCACGGCTGCGCTAGATACACAGACATTGTGAAGTAACAAAGATGGCTTACTTTTGAAGTGTATAAGTGATTCCAATTAACACGAGTTGAATTCGTGCGACTTATGATGTTATGCATTTACGTCACCCTGACGAATGGTTCGTATACATCAGTTGACTGCAAATAAATGAATAATTTGCTCCCAATATCACTGAAAAACACTAATGATTAATAATCAATTTTTTAAACTTAAAGGATTATTATGACTGTCCACATATGTGTTTTCTGTCCTCTGATGCCATCCATCATCGCATTTTCTTCAAGTGCAATGTATTGATTAAAATGGATGAAAAGGGAATAGTTATTTATAATATTATCGATAACATTCAAAAAGGTATAAAGTGGTTAAAGTTCAGAGCACCAGGATTGGAGCAGAGAGGTGCGGGTTCGATCCCACCAGCTCTGTGCGCCAGTTTCTGGTCACAGATCGGCAAGTAGGCCGGGCGGTTAAGCAAAGGAAATTTGAAGCAGTGAGTTGCGAGTTCAAACCCGAAGAATGCAGTGGAAGTTCTGCAATCTTAAGAATCGGGCCTAATAAACGCTGAAACCGCTAAATTACTAACAAGAATAACATATTAGTCTTTTTGTATTACTATTGAAGAATTGTGCATGTTAATTTCACCTACTTTCTAAAAATGTAAATGGAACTTAATTCACCAGAGCACATATAGGTATGTCGCCGGACAGTTATATAGAAACGATCAATTTTATAAACAAAACTGAACCATAACTTTCTAACGCATGAGATTGGATCAGATTTTTAGTTATTATGTGGCATTTGAATTCGTGAAGTCGATTATAGTTCTGACCAATATTATGCAGTTTTTACTGATGATCAGCGAGTTAATTTGCCAGCCTGTTAAGTGACGACTCATGTGAGATTGAGTGCAACGAAATCGATGTACGTACGTTATTTTCCCGCTGAAATAATAATCCCATGCCAGGATTCACTTCGGCTCGTAGTGTACGAGGCAAATCAAAGAAGACCCTTCTAAGATGATTTTTTCTTCATTACATCTTCATGATATCGTTTTGATGCCGCCGACTTCTCCTGGTGAAAACAGCACCACGACTCCCAAATGTTCTTGTTAAAAGTCTGTCTAAAGCTGCGACGGTCGGATATCGCTGCCAAGTTCTTTATAACAGAGAATGCATTGCAATGTTTAAGTTCGTATTTATTGTCATGTTTTAATCATAATTGCCCCTCTCTAACCATAGACCATGGACTTGTCATGAATTTTTGGGCATCTGACATTTTTTCATTCCAATTTTCTAATTAAAAAATCCACTCCATGATTTGTCCATGAAAATACTGCCTTAAATTACTTCAGCTATAAATACTCGTATAATGTTGCCGTGATGCATTGATTAACTGCAAATTGAATGCATACTAATATTTAACTTTCTTTATGGGAGTCTATATTAATCTAACAACACTTGAATAATTCCAAATACATTTAGTTTCGAAAAAGCTAGATGCATTAATAAAACTACTCAAATACTGAAGTAGGCCGGTGCAGCAATTAAGATTTAAAAGGTAGATAAAAAGTTTACAATGATCTAGCAGCAGTTCTATACCCATATTTGTTCAAAAAAACAATTTTAACTAAAACAATTCAAAATTATTTTCAGAGTATTTAGTTTCATGAATAACTAACTAAATTAATTTGTTTTTTGAAACTGGAACAAATTTTTTATTCAGTCTGAGAAATACATTGAGATGAGATGTAAACCCCAGTCATATGCATTGAAATTTAATAAGTGTATATAATAAATATATTTGTATACACATCAGTAATGGTGTTTATAAAGCACGCCATACAGGAAGGTATATTGAGCGTAAAATCAATGGTATACATGCTGCAATGCAATGAGAGTCGCGATGTGTTTGAGGTGAACGTCTGCCCTAAAAATTATCTCCTGAACTAAATGACCGATCTTTCTGAAACTTTGTACACATATGCGAACCATCTAAAAAGAACATTTTGCTTCCATGAATTTTTTATAAAAATTGAATGAAAACGTGAAGTATATAGAAAAAGAAAAAAAGGGGGGTCCGTAAAAACTCCTTCTCCAATCTACGTGCTACAACAAAGACATGTCATTCGATTCGTAAAGAGAATAGCTATCGACTCTTGAAGACCTTTTTTGAATTTTTTATACGACCTTTTCCATTTTCTTTCCATTACCCCAACCTAATTTTAGTCAATGTATAATCTAAAGTTCAAAACCATGTATAAATCAGAAAAAATGTTTATAGAGTCGTTAGATATGGCCTGATATTTGCCAGATATTTGGCCTATATGATATTGTTCTCCAGTCTCTCAATGATATACCTGGCAAATTATAGGAGGAGATAGATTTTTAAAAAAGTGCATTTTCGAAATTTGAATTGTTCGGGGGAGCCAAATAATTAAAATTTATCGAAAAAAGAAGAAAATGCTAAAAAAATCTTATTACTCTAGCCCCAGCTACTCGGGTTAAGAGCCCCATCAAGTGTCATTATTGGCTTATTACCACGTTTTTCTTAGTTTCTTCTTTTCCAGTTTAACGCGAATAATAAGCTATAAATAGGACTTTTGTGATATATTTATATATTACAGTCATTTTATAAAATTTCACAAACGCCTTACGCCAAAAAGTATATATTGCATGTACATCCATGGTATTTGCTTTATTGAACGCGTATTCTTATTGTTTGTAGCTTTGAAATGAGTTCAAACACATTGCAATTAATGCGAATAATGATCTATAAGTACAGATTTAATTGAAAAAAATCATTAAAAACAATCGTTATAAAATGTTCATTTTATAAATGTTCAAATCGGCCTCATAATGAAACCATGACTGATGGAACCCTGGGATATTTTTTATTCGATTTGTAATAGTTCTCTCTATTAAATGAAATGAAAAATATAGGAAACGAAAGTTCTTCGATTTCTAAGGTAGACGCTCCCCTAAAATACCATGTTTGTTTATTCCTACAAATTCAACTATCATCAATATTCTTTTTTTTTTCGCGACAAGCGTGTGTTTTGGCAAAGAAAATTTTTAACAAGCTCCTTGGCGAGGATTATGTTTGATGTTGGTGGCCAACATTGCGTGCTGATCGATGTTGCTGTTGCGTGTTGTTGGTGGATAACATTGCGTGCTGATCGATGTTGGTGGATAAAATTGCGTGCTGATCGATGTTGGTGGATAACATTGCGTGCTGATCGATGTTGCTGGCCAACATTGCGTGCTGATCGATGTTGCTGGCCAACATTGCGTGCTGATCGATGTTGCTGTTGCGTGTTGTTGGTGGATAACATTGCGTGCTGATCGATGTTGGACAACATTAGTAACGGTTGTACATGGTGCTGTTGGCTGGGCTGCGCGGGCAACAGAAGAGGTTGATGTCTGTCACCGCCGTGTCATCGTCGGCCAGCTGTGGGGCTTCCACTCGCGTCTGGAAAAAGGTTGTAATTTTTATATTTTTAGCGCATTTTCTCATTTATGGAAAAAATGCACTATTGTGCTCGCCATGTCCGTCTGTCTGTCCGTCCGTCCGTCCGTCCGTGACCTCAAGTTTTCGTCGACGAGAAAATGCGCTCTCTGTCACTAACTGCAGTGAGTACTGAGTTATATTTTTTTACATGAGGGAGTGGCATATTTTACGTCATGATTCTGGCCAATGAAATATTTTTAAAGCCGCTGCAGTGACTCTATGGTGCCTCTAGGCAATACTTCACTCCTCGATCTTTTTAAAATTTACTTATTTTGCCACATGAAGCTCATATCAAACTAATGGAGTTGATTTGTTATATCCGTGCTGCGAGTGCTTCATTTGCATGGTTATCAGGTTTTGTCGGCGCGAAGTCGAGTCCCTCGAGAGCTTATTTTTACTCAAAAATTAATCGTCTTGTAGTTTCTTAATTTTAACCTAGGCAGCCACACATTTCACTTTTCCTGTCCGTTTTTTCTGTACAAAATTAAAAAAAAACAGAAAAGTGCAAATTTCAGAAGCATGCATGCCGTGTAAACATCTCGATTATTATGTTTTATTATTATTGAAAATTGAGCAATATTTGCCCTAGCGGTTGAGTTCAAATGATGAAATTACAAATTTTCCCTCTCTTTGATCAACACGCAACCACCAAAAGCTAAAATGTTCCTTAATGTTCCCTTATAAACCAGAATTTAAAATGACAAACTGTACCGATTTGGCAGAATAGGCTGATAAAATTAATGTAGGCCAGGCGCTGCTAAATTGACTATACATCAAACATATTTAAAAATCGGTTCCTTCCGCATTAAATATACTATATATACTTGCTGCTTGCTGAACAACGTTGCAAGAAGCCATAAGAGAATCAAGAGTTTTGCACTACCTGCTGCATTCCTTTGACACAAATTAGTAAACTAATCCTGATCAAAAATAATATGAAAAATGTGGAACACAAATTAGTAAACTAATCTTCATCAAAAATAATATGAAAAAAATGTGGAAAAACAAACCTGGAGTCCGCAGACAGCGTTGCCGGGAGGACACTGCGCCCAGACACTCCATTCCCCGTCGTTGAATTCCACTGGGGTCGCATCCTGCGAGTAATTCAGATACAATAAGGGAAATTGCCAATAAAACAAATTCTCCGGTTTACAATGAAACCTGTTTTTAAGGATCTACTACGGAGTCATCGTAGCTGGCGACGACTTTGGCCTGGTCAAACTCATGCTTCCCGTGTCCCAAGAGAGGTGAGTAAGACACTCTTTAATTCAGCTACAATGAGAGAAATTGTTAATAAAGCAAACTCTCTGGTCTAAACCTGATTTAAGGAACAAACTCTGCCTTCCATGACTAATTTAGAGATACGTAGATACAATAAGAGAAATTATCAATAAAGCAAACTCTCTGGTCTAAACCTGATTTAAGGAACAAACTCTGCTTTCTTATACTAATTTAGAGAAACGTAGACGTTCGTCCATATAGCGATGCGGTTTCTACTCTTTTGGCCCGGTATGAGGGGAGCATCAGTGTAACGTCAGGGGTCGTTTGTTCGGTTTGTATTAAAATACGTCGCTATTTAAACTATATGAGCCGTCCATCTTTCAGAGTGCATGCTAGAGTTATGCATTCGAATATATTTATGCATTCGAATATATTTATGCATTCGAATAATGAAGGTTCATTAATCGAATATATTTCTTTGCTCAGCCATGCGTGCCTAGAGCAGCAATTTTCCGTAGGGCTTGACACGCGTTCGATTACTAGGGTAACAGGGAATTTTGTCTTGCCTTATGACTGACTTCGTTATCATTAGCTTCAAATATCATTTATTGGGAGCTTACAACGCTAAAATGAATTTAATCGAACCATAAAACGTTTCGAAACTTTGAAGGCCGTTTTTTAATCCTTGCATTCTGGGATACCATTATATTTTATATTATTAGTGTAAAATTAGGTAACATTCAGTATAAATAAGCTAAATCCAACATATCAACTTTCTCAGTAACTCAGCCGCACTCATCTAAGGATAGGGTATTACCTCAATTATTTTCGTGGACGTACATTAGAATGATAGGCATTCTGGGTAAACCTAGTCAATTTTACAGGCCGGGTTTACCTGTCGGGTTAATGTGCTACTTAACCCCACACGAATGGGGTTTAATAGGCAACGTAAATCCCAGGCAAGGCAGAGTTATTTACTATTCCGTACATATTCATCCAGTTATTATATTTAAATTAGGCCAAAATGTGACGAACTTGCTTTAACTTTCCTAATTACCAATCTCGCCACATTGAAAATTCGGATGGTCTTAATTGTCACGCCCACCAATGACCGGAAATTGAAAGATGCTTCCTTATTGGCTTAATTAAGCAAGGCTTGTACTGGCCGGATTGATAACTCAAAGACAAGCTTAATTAATGTATTTATAGATAAACAGCAAATTGAGGCAAAACAAATCAAGACGAACGATCTCACAGGGATGCGAAAATAAGTACTAATTAAGCGAACGGACAAATCGCACACAGGAGCTATAACAAATCGGATGCGGGGAGAGAGCTTGAGCGCGGAGGGTTTTAGAATAAACGTACGATCGCTGGCTTCGGAGGGAGCGCAGCCGTAGGCCACAAATTTTACTCTTAAATAAGCCCTGTATCTAACGCCCAGCCTCACCATGCATTCAATTCACTCAACCTCAGTGCTAGAAGCCGTAGACTACGCTTGAACTCCGTAATCCAGACAAGAGACACACTGCCGAAAGACAATAGTGCCGCAAGTCTTCAGCCAATGCTTAACATGCTCGCTCATAAACAGGCTGTTCCTCATCCGGCTGTACCTACTCCGGCCTAACCTCTTCTGGCCTAACCTATTCACGCTGTCCCGGCTCACAACCTTCTCGCAACAAATGACTGGCTCTACCAGCACACTTGGACCGCCTTTCAAACTTCCAGCCAATGAGGTTAGGTTAGGTCCGCTCAGGTTCGTTTTGAGTGGGGAAATGTTGCAATTTGTGTAGGTTAGACCTGAAAAAGTCAGGCCGGAAGAGGTTTGGCCAGATGCAGTGTGGCTATACTTACCTTTAGCAAGCTTATTTTGTGGCAGTGGACATCCGGCGCTATGGCTTTGAGCACTTGACTTCATAGGCTGTTATACCCTCTAGCGTTCTCAACTACGGAAAGAAATATGAACTGAACGTGAAGTTTGGCAAAGCTTGTCTCCGGCATGCGCCCCGCGTCGGAGTCAAAATCCTACGAGAGAGGAACCAGTACGCAAGTCGGGGTCGGCAGCTTATCTGACGGATACAACAAATTTAACGCCCACGTCAGAGCTGGTCATGCTTGCGGGACTGATAGTTAGTGGTGGGAAATTTACACAGTACTTCATTACATTGTATGGAAAAATTCTCACCTCTTCGTCAAGAAGCGAAATTCCGGACAAAATTTCTTCTCCGTAGTTACATTCCGCCTGGAAATCCTGCACTGCGACGTCGTCCGTGAACACACCTTGATACTCCAGAACCTTTGCCCTGAAGCCCGTGATGAAGGTGCCGTGACAAACCTTCATGCCTGCAACGCATAATTATAGTCAAAGTTTGAAAAATATTCACCATGTACTTCATTCTATTGACGGCGACTCTTATGAGGAATTTTTAATAAATCGTCTCGGAACAGAAGCATCGAAAATCAATCACTGCTTGATATGTTTTCTCAATTGTAGGCTAACTCAGCCCTTTTTCTCGGGCGTGTTGAAATAATGATCCGAATTCTCTTGAATTTTCTCATTCTATATTTGAAACAATGCAATTTATAAAAATGTATAACATTTTCAATTTATTCATATTCAAAGTTCAGTTAAAAAAATAAGAAATTTTGGAAAGCGTTGGGCACGACGTGGACTTTGCCTTAACCCTCTACCGCCGTATGTTACTCTCCGGGAACATAACTTTCAACTTAAATTATATGTAAACTATTGCGTGTAATAACCTGAGGAAGTTTGTACGCAACAGAGAACATTTTAAATTTGTACGTGGCGGCAACCATCAGTGCAAGTCATTTTGCGCTCACTAGAACGTATCCTTTTTGGGAAGTAGGCGCGTGACAATATTGCTCCGGTTACTCATGTCAGGCGGTAGAGGGTTAAATACATTTTATTATAGCCAAAAAATTTATTGCTTCTACCTAGTAGTACCAAGTTCAAGAAATTTCCCTGTTAATAAAAATTTCTTCAAAATCATGTTCTTATCAATATGTTAATCGCTTCTTTGACTCTCATGGCAGTCTGTTCAGTTTATAACAATTGCAAATACGTTCATCTTTTCATCTGGAGCACTAACATTAAATGGGCTTTGTTTAATAAAATTAATTTCTTTCATGAGTCACAATTTGGTTAAATCGCGAAACGATAAAATGCTCTAATTCTTCTGAATGGTTCATCCAGATATAGTACAGTAAGCATGCCTAATAGTTACATAAATAAACTATTGTAGATTTCGTTGTGCCTTAATTGTTATTGCAGCCTTCGATTATTACGCGTATGAGACTAACTAATGTTCCCCGTCTTGCATATAAGCACTGTGTATAATCATGATTTATAGTTTCGCTTATTGTGGTGAAAGCAGGAAAACTACCATTGTACGGCAATCTCCTTGAGTTAGGGAAATTAACATATGTGTTGCCACGGTTACTTCAGTTATCGATGATTATAGATAGGAGAGTGCGAGCGTACTGACACGTAAATATTTTATGGTTCAGCTTGTCAATATAATGTAGGGATATATTGTTTGCATTAATAGAAATAGAAGCTTTACATATATGTATTGAAATTTGACAAACCTTGCCTTGCAATTAATATGTTCACAAGATTTAAAAGATAGGCAAATTATCCGTACACCATTTTATGGTGAATTCGCCCCCACCAGTCGTTGTTACGATAATGTATAATAATATCTAATAATTATTTTTTAACCATAGTTTTTGCTCGTCATCACCATGAGATGGTCAAGATTCGGCAAATTATCCGTACACCATTTTATGGTGAATTCGCCCCCACCAGTCATTGTTGTGATAATGTATATAATATCTAATAATTATATTTTAATTATAGTTAATATAGAAATTATAGTTGTTATAGTTAATCTAGTTATAGAATGGTACTCACCATACCAGAGACCATCAGGACCAGCGGCACTCTCCACATAGCCGACATCGAAGTGCTGCTCTGTGCTGCAGTACAGCTTCACTGCGTTAATGGCAGTCTCGTCCACATTACCAGGCGGGACGAACTGAGAAATAAAGAATTATTATAACACAAACATATTATTTCTCGATTTAAAGAACTTCATACACGTACAAACAAAAATTGCCTTTAGTGTTTTCTTTTCATGCTAGGCCATGCAGGAGCACATGTTTGGTCTTGAAATGCCTGGGATCCTACGGAACAACTGAAATCTAGAAGCGATTTAAACCTACCATGAGTACCGTCTGTTGAAAAAATTTGAACAAGAGACCAGTCTAGTCAAAAAAAGTACAAGAATCGGCAACAGGCCTATCCAGGCCTATTCTTCAATGCCGAAGATACTATACTATACTATACTATACTATACTATACTATACTATACTATACTATTACTATACTATACTATACTATACTATACTATACTATACTATACTATACTATACTATACTATCTTCCTCAATGGTTGGATTGTTCGCTTATCGTAATCTTGTTTGCCACACTTCCAAGCAAATACAATATTCCTGTAAATAAAACTAAACGAGAAATGAAGAATAAATTATTGATAGAGCGTCCGAAAATAACAATTCACCTCAACAAAAATTACTTTCAATTTAATAAACACGAAACTCGGTCAAAAATCTGATCCTGATTTTAATGCATTTGTCTTGAATTTTATTGAAAGGCGTTATGATTTTTTCTGTTAAATTAATGAAGAAATATGCAAATGTGATATTAATTAAAAATAATATAATAAAAAGTCCCTTTCTGGCCACAAAAGTGTCGACAGATGTGATGCTAATTAACCATTTGTTTTCCATTCAATGTTCTGTTACCAAGAAAAGCATGAGAGCTCGTAATGCAAATCTGCACAGAAGAGCTCGATCGTTATGAATTTTTAACTGTTGGCGATACACAGTTAAATAATTTGATGTCCTCTTGTTCGTTCAGCTAAAAATCAGTTTGCAGTGCCTCAATTAACAGCTCCGGACGAATGAAATAATTGCAAGTTTGAAATGCGTTTTAAAAACGTGACGTTCGAACATAACATTCGAAACAAAAATATTTACATTTGATTGATTGTAAAATTCTTCTTTCACTCTCAAGATGGCAAGATTCCATGATGGTTATACGTACTACAATTAGTAGTACTTGAATGGAAACGATTATTTTTCATATAAGTGGCGAGGCAGGTTGAATGGAAACGATTATTTTTCATATAAGTGGCGAGGCAGGCTGTTCAGAGTAGGCAACACTCACAATGATCTCAAAGGCATGCACGTAGGCAACACTCACAAGGATCTCAAAGGCGTGCACGTAGGCAACACTCACAAGGATCTCGAAGGCATGCACGTAGGCAACACTCACAAGGATCTCGAAGGCGTGCACGAAGCTGTACTCCGGGCAGAGACCAATGAAGCCCCAGTCCCCGGCGTCGTAAGGATTGTTCAGGAACAGCGTTGAGGTCACGCCGCGAGTCTCGATCAGATCCACGCGGGTACCGACTTGTTCAATAGCTGATGCAGTCAGAGCTGGGGGGATATCATGACAAGGTTAATCACTGTTAGAAAAAACGGCGAAAAAACGGTCCCATTGGCGTTCTAGTGGCCGGTCGCCCCGTGAAAATAAACTGTTTCGCCGTTTTTATCAGATGTTTTACGGATTTCTAGTGTTAAATTAAAATAAAAACGGCGACACGGTGTTTCTTTTCACGTGCCAACCGGCCACTGAAACGCCGGTAATACTGTTAACGGTAATTTTTCTAACAGTGTATAAGCTTCAATGCAGATAATTTTGTTATAACTGCGCTAGCTGGCGTACAAGGATCAATATTACACGAAGCGTAAGTTCTCAGATATTGTGTATGTTTAAACATAAAAAACTACCAAGGTTGATAGAAATTAACATATGTGAGTACGAATATGATCCCATTCCGTGCTATTTCATTCTAATTAGGTCATATTCTTGAATTCCAAATCAATAGACAGAGCCAGAATATTACAGCCGAATTGATGTCATATTCTAATGTGTTTAGATCGAATCATGAAAAGAACGACAGCAGACTTTCTTAACCTTAAATACTTATATCTTATTGGTTCGTGACTCCACTGACCCAGAACTGAAAGAAGTACAGCGCAAATAAATCTACCCATGTTCATAATGAGTTAAGACGGTGCAAAGATGCAAACTTGTGACTGTCACAGTCAATAATACATTGAGCTTATCGATAGACTTTATATATTAAGACGCATATGGGAAGTTGTACAGGTGCCATGAGATTCCCCAGAGCTGATGTCACCGCAGGTGCACGCGCAACTACGTGATGCCATGTGAACGTGACTGTTACATCAAGAAAACTTATTTAAATCATTAATTTGTGGAATATAGTTAAGGAATTAGGCCAGAAAAATTGTCCAAATTATTATATGAATGTTTAAGGTGCTCTTTATTGCTAAAGCAATTGCTAAAGATATGATGAGTAGACTAAATTATTGCGAAGTAGTAATTAAGAGGAAAGCTAAAAAAATTCACGCAATAAAAGACGAAACATTTGTATATATGAGGGTTGAGAGAGTAATATATACATATATAGTACATTTGCTCCGAATATCAATAAAGGATGATTTCAGGGGATATAATTGACGTTCGAAACTTTCAAGCGATTACGTAAGAAATTGTTTCATATGTACACGTATTCACTAAAAAAAAAAAAGGCCGATAACTCAAAATATACTAGTTTATTTGTAGGTTCCACTATAAAAATTCCATTCACTTTCTTTCTTTTTCTTCGTGCATCTCCGTTCACCACACTTTACATCTTCAGCCTCATGTGGAATGATGGAAGGTTTGTCGCTTTCGCAGTTTGCGACGAGTTATTTCTCCCTGCTACTGTTTTACAGTTTCATGGGTGGTGAAACAGTAGTGCATGCATGTATATGATCGATATGGCAAGAAAGTGGCTGGACCGTGATTAATACTGATTGTTGAGAATTTCGTAACGAAAATCTTCTTTTTTCGGGTGGAATAATTTGAATTAAATGCTTAATACAGTATCGGAAACAGTAGAAATCGGAAACAGTAGTGCATGCATGTATATGATCGATATGGCAAGAAAGTGGCTGGACCGTAAATAATACCGATTGTTGAGAATTTCGTAACGAAAATCTTCTTTTTTCGGGTGGAATAATTTGACACGCGTGGAGTTACTTGCCAACGGTTTCTGGCGAAGTCTAAACATCTATTAAAACTAAACCCCTTATGATGAAATGCAAAACATACATATATACACACTAATTGTACAAGCATAAGTCACGTAAAACAGCCTCGGATATAGTGGCTAGACTTACCAAATTATTGAGGTAAAGCTTGGTTTGTCTTAAAAGTAAAAGCTTTCATCGTACAATAACTCCTCCTCGCCTATGCTAACCGCAACGACCTAGTAACTTACGCGTGCAAGAGAATAGGACGAATCTAAAATTGTATATCAAGTGCACACGAGAAAACCCTTCACACTGATAGGGATCGCATGTAAGTTTTCAAACGACTATATCAGAGCATGACTTCACAGTCTCAATAATAATTTTATTCTCTAGCTAGAGGATAACACATGTAAAATCAATTGCTCGATGAGGCCTGCCCATGAATACTGATGAAGCTGAGCTAATTCATAACTAACTGATGGAGATGAACGCACTTCATCAGTAATACAACAAATTTTGTTGGGTGCGTTAGTCTTCATTTTAACTTCTGAAATTTAATTCTTGAGGCGAGGAGGAAACTATTTATGATTTCCTTGACTTCGTTTCTTTCTAATTTCTCTTCATAATTAACAATTATGTTGTTCCTAATGAGATGTCTGAATTTTTTATTCAACAATATTTTTCTCCACTCGTGATTTTTAAAGCTATTAGGGTCCTGTAAAACGAATTTCTTAAGTCAATGGCACAGGCGAAACTTCATAGTTCGCAGTGCAGCTAACCGAAAAAAATCACGATTGCTGTCATAAAAAATATTTTTCTTTATTTAAATTCCGTGATTCCCTTTCAAATCATCCACAATATTGGTATATGTCATAGGCTAAAAATAAAGTAATAATAAATATTTATAGAAGTTATTCTTGTGGTACAGGAATTGTCTAATATAGGGAGCATACAGAGAACAGGAAGTGTCTAATTTGTTTTTACAATTAGGAAGTTAGTGACGTAATTTCTGGACGTATGCAGGCTTAAAAATGAAGCATATAAATAAGAGCGTGCATATGCCTGCCAAAACAATTAAAAGATGAGGGGAGTTTATGACCATATATAGTATTTGACTGCAAATAAATTATAATTATTGAGACGTATGTAACTGAGAGATGTACGCATGTTGTCTGAAACAAAAGATGACTTGTTCAAATATGTAGATTCAGAATACTAAGACTTCAGATCAATTAATTTGAACTAGTAAACTTGGCATGTAATGTGGCAAGCGTTGTTATGTCCTCACAGACTCACTGAGGAAACTTGGCATGTAATGTGGCAAGCGTTGTTATGTCCTCACAGACTCACTGAGGAAACTTGGCATGTAGTGAATGGGCGAAGTTCTGTAGAGTTTCCCCAGTATCTCCGAGTTAGTAATAATAAAAAAGTACCTATAGAAAGTATTCATTATAAATTAATACAAATAAAGTGAAGGTATCACCAATTTCATCAATGTTAATGTTTATTAACATAAGTACACAAAACACGTAAAAGCTAGGGATAGTACTCGGAAATTCCCCCGAAAATAATTTGAAAGTTCAGACGAATCCGGAGGGTTTAAAGATGGCAACTGCATAAGTCCGAGCTGGAATAACTTGGGCTTCAGCTATACTCAATCTATAATGGCGTCGTGTCATCCGTCAACGATCGATGCTAGTGCATGCAAGCTTGGGTGCCACATGACGTCTCGTGAGCTTGGCCCAGATTTTATAGGTTTTTTCTCATATGCCGCCTTTTATTGGTCGATTGTCTTATATTAAGCTCATTTTTTTGTAGTTCTTCTGCTCTTCCTGTACTTTCATTAGAGCTATCTTCTTCGGCCTAGATCTGAAACCTCTAGAATCAAGTTTGAGAAGCTACTTCTTAAACAACTAACAAACTGTTCTCTCGAAGTTCGGGTCGGTAATAAATGACAGCAATAATTTAAAATTGCATAGCTATTCACTTAATCTTGAAGATGGCTAACCAAAATTTTGACTCTATCAAACCGATGATTAATTTTATTGTGCCTGAAACATAATGTTTTATATGTGCTGACTTTGGTCTCATATCTGAATCTAACACAACTCAACTATAATAAATATTTTTGTGGCTCTAAAATAAATCAACGCTCCGAAGAGATAACGGCAAAACAAAACACAGTTTCGTTCGCTTGCTAAGCGCTTTCTATATTGAAATAAGTGAATTTTAGAAAAGGTTCGATCACAATTATATAGTTCTTCGTCCTTAGTATTATTTTGATTCTGCATCTGGTGAATGTCCGTCATACTGCACGATTATTTACGTAGTTTGACATAAGTGACTACAACACACCGCACAAGCAGCAGCAACACTTCATATTGCCCGGAAGTGTAGCTGAGAAAGAAGTCTTGACATAAGTGACTACAACACACCGTACAAGCAGCAGCAACACTTCATATTGCCCGGAAGTGTCGCTGAGAAAGAAGTCTTGACATAAGTGACTACAACACACCGTACAAGCAGCAGCAACACTTCATATTGCCCGGAAGTGTCGCTGAGAAAGAAGTCTTAATTGAGCGAACTACACGACTGCTCAGGATCTCTCTCCTTCACCGTAACGGTAAAGAATGCATACGAGGATATGCACACGCTATAAACTTCGATATCCATTTTAACTGGATTTATTTGCGTATTCTCACATTGCGATTAAAAATAAAATCCATTTGATAGCTTAAATGCATATTCCGTCAAAAATGGCTAAAAAAATTTAAAGCTTTCATGTAAAATAAAGTATTCCATCAAAAAAGGCTAATGTAAAATATTCATATTCCATCAAAAAAGGCTAAACAAATTTCAAAGCTTTCATAATATTAAAACTAATTTCAAGCTCAACGGATGCTCCACTGTTTATTCAAATTTGAATACAATCAAAAGTTCAGCTTGGAAACCAGTTGACAAGGCGTGGATTAATGTTTCGGCCAGGTTCAAATTTTCGTTGCTTAGAAAATCAATGGAAGCAGCGGACGAATACGTGTTGGTAGCACGTAAATGCGCGACATCGCCCCCGGGTTGTTCTGAAGCAGATAAAGAGAAAAGTTTTGAATAACTATCGGTAAAGAAGTATGAATTTTCATATAAAGAATGAACAAATATAAAGACAAATCACATATATGCATTACCTTAAATGATAGATCCACTTAAGAGGCGAGGAGCCAAATAATGTTGAAAGTTAATGGTTAGTAAAGTAAGATCAGCTCGTATAGCAATGGTTATTAATCGCATGCTGTTAGAAGTTTGGACTTTAATTTAACTGAGCTAATCTTATAAAAGTAAGCATATAGGCATGCGGATGGACAAGATAATGAAATGTTGAAAAAAGGAAATAGAGAATTAAGACACGCTAGCATAACCAGCGGCGGTCTATGTGCTCCTAATATGAAAATTCCAGATCGCATTAAGTTACTTATTTCTACTTTTGAAGAAAGTCAGAAAGAACATTAAATTTTTAATTTCAAATATTTAAATTTTTGAAAAAGATTAATTATACAATTCCTACAATCATTTAAATCAATGGCAATTTAATATACATTTCTAATAATGTTAAATAAAATTCACAACAGTTTTTCAAAATTTTCACGCATGAGCTACTTTGGAAATCTGCCAGTCACTTCGCCCGCCAATTACGGGGTAAAATATGGAAATTATATTTTTAACTCTTATTCTTATTCTCATTAGTGCCAACTAATTTCATAAAATTCTCCAAAATTCTTCAACTGCAATCAATAATATTATATTCGTTAGAACGGTTTACCTCAATTAAAATATTTAAATAATTCGAAACAGATAATTCGATTAAACTGAAGTTATCAGAAGTTTCATTGCAGCCGCAAGCGCGTCACGTTTACTGTTATCTGATAGCAGAAAGATAACGAGTCTTGCGAGACATGAAGCCTCGAGCTGCAGTCTTTCATTTACGTTGAGAGATCGAGTTTGCGGTCTAAACTACAGGTGGTTCATTACGCTGCAAGTTCATTTCATGGTGTAAATAGTATAGTATAGTACAGTATCTTCGGCATTAACAACACTAAATTAGTATAGTATAGTATAGTATCTTCGGCATTGAAGAATAGGCCTGGATAGGCCTGTCGCCGATTCTTGTACTTTTCTTGACTAGACTGGCCTTTTGATCAAATCTTTTCAACGGACAGTAGATTTAAAATCGGTTCTAGATTTGAAATACTGAAATACCTAAATACTGAAAAGGAAATCGAGTTGTGCATAAAGTGTGTTACAATCGTCGGTGGTAAAGCAAGGGTGTGATGGGGCTGTTAAAGAAGCTCCGTGGGCTGGTCGTCATCAATGACGTGCAGGATGACACTGTCGAGCCCGTGGTTGAGGCTCAGCCGCCTGAACAGGACAAAAAAGAGGTCGTCTATAAAACGCCAAGGAAAAGTAAGATCTTAATTTTGTATTTGCCAGCCCAAAAATTATGAATTATTAATGTGTAAGTTAATAAATGTTCAGAGACAAATAAATTTGAACGAATTTTTTACCGGATTTTCTGCGTGATGTAATTGTTTTCTTCCAATTCTACCTGATTTCCGCTGGTTTAGGTTGTGAAAACTTAGTACGCAAAATAATTGTGATGATATAACTACGAATGAATAGTCAATATGATTTGACGTCGAATCAAATAACTCAATTTCTAAATTACAAACTATTGTCGGCAGGCCCAACATTATACGTATATGCGAACGATAATAGAAACGAAAGAATGGTTCAATTTGAAATCACAATTTCAAAATTTTGCGTGCATTACTTATTTTAGCGATAACCAACGTTCCGGTGGTTGGTCGTCATACGATCCATGTGATATTAAGAGCTCTCGGGAATGCATGACACTCGATCCAACAATACCGTTATCTTTATTTCACTCGCACAGTTTCTTGAAACTTTGTATCTTTATTGCCACGATCCGATGATAATATTTAAAAAATACATTTATGAATTTTTCCCATGCTTATGCAACATTATTCTTGCCCATACAATACACTTTATTCGTTCATACCTAACTTACCCCACTAATTTAAAACTGATACTAAAAACTTTTAATAATGATGTCATTATTCATAATGATGTTGACGCTTGCCCGTGTATTAGAAAATTTCGCAGTCGACCAAAGTTTCGAAGCATTTAAAATATCAAGTTATATTCTCGGCACACATGGGTGGCTCTAACATTCCAAGAACAACTCTTGAATACATTATAGGTCAGTGTGTACGCATAGCTGTAATAATATCTCTCAAGATAAGCACGCATCGTTTAACGTGAAGAGTTTCGAAGCATTTAAAATATCAAGTTATATTCTCGGCACACATGGGTGGCTCTAACATTCCAATCGTTTTAATCATCAGAGAACTGCTGCGATAAATACTCCCGGGTCATCGGCGTGCTGTTCCTCTGCCTCATACTCGGTCTGCTGATCCCAATAATCTTCATGGCTACGGTCTACGCTCCTGAGGACAAAGTACTGGGCTCCAGAGGCTACTGCCTCATCAACAAAACAATACAGTCAGTTTTGGGATTGATATTGATTCGCAAATTCATACCAGCGAGCCTATAGATCAAATTTTTAACTTCACGAACGCTGTACACATTTTAACTCACCTCAATTGTGCACTTATGGTCATTGAAAGCTAAATTTATGTGGCAGGTAGAGAGGTATCGAAAATAGAATTTCTGTGTAACACACTTACACAATAAGATTTAAATTTGTAGGAATTAAATTTATCATCTGCCATTTTTCACCTCTCACCTTGAAAAAATATTTACCATGGGTAATGTAATTATTAAACGGCCTGACGGTAGTAGATAAGGTGTTAAAGGAAATTTGTACATTAGCATTTCAAGTAACTTGCGAGAATCATGAAATGTTCAGAAATGTTTTGAAAGTTGTTCATTGAATTTATTTATTTCATCAAAATCTATGTGAACTGTGATGTCAAGATCAGTGTCTTGCTTACCATTAAAATATGCTTGAAGAGTGCAGTTTCCGCAAAGTATCCAGTCACATTTTATAAATAATTCATTTTAATTAACACTTCTAAACATCACATTCGATGTAATAACGGAGAATATCTATTCTTAAATTAATAAACGATGTATATTATTTGATAACCTTTAAAATCACTATAATCAATATTTCTACGCTATTTTTGGGCTAAGAAAACACGTCAATAGCGCATGCTTATGTTTCATTCCTATTAGGTACTTTTTTGATAATATGCTAGAGAGTTGGTACAACTAGTTCTTTGATAAACTTTGTAATCACTGAGCAGGTACTCGTGCGGTGACTTGAACCAAACGGAAAACGAATGCCAGGCAATTGGATGTTGTTTCAACGATCCTGAAAACGCTCCATATTTACCCTCCTGCTATCACTCGGCCCCATCGGAATACGGATACACTGTGTTGAAAAGTTTTGCCGGCGAAACAAGAAAGACTCCTCTGAGGTTTATCGGTTCGGCGTTAGAGCTAGGGAAGAGTCAAAGTTTAAATTTCGATCTCAGCAGCTTGCGAGAATCGACTACTTTTGGCGACCCGGCGTGGCCGGCCCAAGTGAAGATCGAAAGACAAGGAGACGATATAATCAGACTGACTCTGTCAAGTCCAGGACACGAGCAAGGAACATTTGTAGTAGATGATAGTTTCAGTCCCTCCGCTAGTATGAACCCAAATCTTGACGTTCAAGTCAGCGCACAGGGTGAAACATTTAACATTTCCGTGTATCGCACAGACACACATGAAGTCTTGTTCAATACTCTTTACGGGCCCATGATTGTTGGAGATGGATACATAGAATTGACCACAACTCTACCCACGGCAAAAATATACGGCCTTGGTTCTCGTTACTCAACAAAAGTGTCTCCTTCATTCGAAGAGTTTGAGACCTGGACTCTGAATTCTAGAGATACCTCCTTCTCGAATAAATCTTTACCAGGAACTCATCCATTCTTCATGGGGATCGACTCTTATGGTCAAGCTTATGGAATCCACGTACGTACTTCAGCACCCTTGCAGATAGGAGCCGTTCCTGCACCGGGACTTTCATTTCGTTCTGTTATTGGGACCTTCAAAATCCTGATCATGGCTGGCCCCACTCCGCTTGAAGTGTCAAAGCAATACACTGATATGGTGAGACGGCCGCATCTGCCACCTTACTGGGCCCTTGGTCTCCACTTATGTCGCACCGTACAGTCTTCACTGCAAAATGCAACATTCAGGTAAATATTTTCGACGCTAATGATAATTCACTTTAAAAATTGATAATGGTAATTAAATAGAGAAAATCAAATTTCAAATTTGTTTGCTTTCTTTGACAAAACAAACAAACAAATTTGAGAAAACTCAAATTTGTTTGCTTTCTTTTTTGCTTTCACTATTCATGCGGATTAAAATCATAGGCTATCATTCAGTCTTAGGCTGATATAGCTACGTTTACAGCCTTCATCACAAGAAATTACATGCAGCCTCATAACACTTTTTATTGTGCACTGTTGCAGTCGATAACATATAATGCATTCAGGCGGTGTGCATAGGCCCAGACGGTGGTTAAAATGTAACCACGCTCAAATTGTTACCTAGTAATAATAAATTTATACAAGAATCATACATTTATTTGACTTGATAATGCTTGGTCTAAAGCAGTTGAACATTATACAGCTAATCAGAATAATGTTTAAATTAAGAGACGTTTATTTGAAACTTTAAAGTACTTAAACATGAATTGAACACAATCCGGAAAAGAACCTGTAATGCGTGACGTAATTTTATTGTTCCAGCAACGTTACAGATGCCATGGAGGCCATAGGCTTGCCGTACGAGAGCGACTGTCTTGACGCCAGACTCGCATACCCTGACACATACGCTGCACCCCCCGCTTGGGTGGACGACGCCGTAGCGAGATTAAGAAAAGCGGAGCGGAAATTTTTGGGTACAGCGTACCCCTTCGTGGTCCATGGGTCGACCACTTATAACGAAGCAGCCGGTCTTGATATTTTACTGAAGGTGATGGGAAGCGATAATGAAAATGAAATAAACTACTTAATCGTATGTGACAATACATATTTTGTTGCGCGTGTTGGCCAATTCCGAGGGACTCGATACTCAAGTCCTTCACAAATGTTTACAAATTTCAAGGCGTAAAAATATAATCTACGTAATAACAATATTTAAAGAGTGTTAGACTGAAATTAACGAAAACGCCGAATTGTTTCAACATGATTTTCTCGAGTTCTTAAATGAAGTGAAAATGATTCTATTGAAGCATTTCCGATGCTCACTTGAAGCAAATTATTCAATATAGGAGAGAACGTAATTTATATAAATTTTTCAGTTGAATTCGTCGTACGATTACTTCGGATCCGTATCAAAGGCTGCCGTTGGATACCCGGATTATATGAATGAGAATTCCTTCACGAGCTGGATGAACTCGAGCGCTAGCGTCACCTCCAAGTTCAGCACGTCAGACGGCGTCCTGCTGCTGCAAAACTCGCCCCTTAACGAGGCTGCGGTGCGATACACCCTGTCAGGCAGTGAGTGTTGGGTGCTGTGGTGAGTGTTGGGTTAACAAAGTCGATCATGGTGAGCTGAGAGGAGAGGAGTTCACCCATGAGGCACTTAAGAGACGACTGGGTTTGTTTTTAAGATAGATTCCGGATTGACCGTCTATGCTCCACTACCCTCGACAAGTAACCAGCAACAGCATTTTGCATCAGCTGGCTCAAATGAGAGCAGATGCAAAGTTGTCACCTTCAACGTTACCACCGGGCCCTGGGGGCGGACGACCTGCCCATTGACGGATTGGGACAGAGGACGACAAAGGCGGCGCACCAGCATGGCAGTGGAGTAGGAAGTCCTAATCTCAACATAAGGGCATAAAGTTGATGTGGTGTTGAGTGATGTGGTTGCTGGTGGTGTGTTGGGTAAAGTGCTAAATATTTGTTGCATATTTTTAGAATTAGTGACATTTCATATTACTTGATGTGAAAGTAATAATTGGATTAGTTACATTTTTTGCTTAACATTTAGAGTAGGCCTCTGTGTCCAGGTTGGTATCGTGCGGCAACAGTTGAAAATAGTTGCTGGGTTGACTAGTTCACATTTTATTAAAGTAAATGATAGTCAACTCAAAAATTTTCGTAGCTTTGAAAGCATTTGCGTAAAACTTGGAAGGCCCTCACGCTCTAATAATGCTGCGCGTACCACAGTTAGGGACCACAGGCTTGATAAGATGGGCCCCACATCAGAGGGAACCAATGTACTCATTCCATGACAATCGCCATCGTAACTGCAGAACAGCCATTGCACTCATACTATTAACAATGCCATCATAACTACGTTAAAGCCAATTCACTCATCCCTTCTCCATTGTCATCGTATAGTGGCCCATAAGCTAATCCAATCTTCCTCTGACCAATGTCATCGTAGTTGCGCAGAAGCCACTGCACTCAAAATCTAACTTTTATTTGCTGTTGCAGATGGGAAGAACTGCGTCCCAGAGACGCCAGACTTGTGTTGCTGGAGGAGCGGCTTGGGCTTCCAAGTGGACGCGGAGGTGACGGAGCCCACCGAAGCCTCGGTGTGCTGGGCCACGATACATCCTTCCCTGGCCGACTCGCTGCACCTAGCGCACCGCAACGCGTACGGCCTGCACCACAGCCGCCGGGTCAGAAGTGTGCTTCAGGTGGGTTCTGAGGATCCACAGCCGCCGGGTCAGAAGTGTGCTTCAGGTGGGTTATGAGGATCCACAGCCGCCGGGTCAGAAGTGTGCTTCAGGTGGGTTATGAGGTCATACACGGTCATTGGTGAGGCTATATACGGTCATTGGTGAGGAGAGCATCACCAATAAGGTGATGGGAGCATCATACACGATAAGGGAGCATCATACACGGTTATTGGTGAGGCTATATACACGGTCATTGGTGAGGCTATACACGGTCATTGGTGAGGCTATACACGGTCATTGGTGAGGTAAAAGGCGAGGCCTCTCAGTGGTAAATGGTGAGGCTTTACTCTAGTGAATGGTGAGGCTTCTCAATGGTGAATGGTGAGGCTTCTCAGTGGTGAATGGTGAGGCCTCTCAGTCACAATTGGCGAAGCCCATCATTGAGAATTTGAGTCTCCTCTGCGTTGATTGACGAGTTCATGGTTAGAACAATCAATGGCGAAGAAAATTTTTGCATTGCCACTGTGCTGACTCAAAGAAAAAATGATTGGTTTATATACCGTAAATGATAACCACGAAGACATGAGTACGAATTCGGAAAATGATGCTATTAGTGCATAGGAAGAGTTTGTTGCTTGTGACTTTGCAAGAATGCTGAAGGGGCTCTTCTCAACGAGCATAGAAACAAAATTCTAATGGGTTTTGGGTGTCTGTGGTTAGCCTGTGTCGGTGAGTGTGTACATATCCACAAGGTTACCCTAGTAAATGAATGTAAGAGGCGGCACATATTGTCCATAACAATTAGGGAAAAATCGAAAACACAAGATTAATTCATAGGCGTTTGACATTCAACTTAGTAGCTTTTGATTGGGTGCCCACGGGTTGAGTTCAAGTCAGTAGGGGAGGATAAGTGAAGGAGCTCGTGGGGGCTTTAAGGAGTCTGTACTATATGTAAAGCTAGGAGTTTGTTAAGAAGCGTCAGTCCAAGTTCAATCTTTTCCTGCGTTCAGACGCTACGGCCGACATCTCGGCCTTTGCTGATGAGTTCCTCGACGCATCCAGGGAGCGGGAATGTGAGCGGCCACTTCAGTGAGGGCTTCAGCACCACGTTGGACGACCAGAAAAGGGCGCTGTTACAGGTAATGTAACTCGTCGTATCCTACCAGAGACAACATGAATTACGCCATGATATGTCATATAATAAACACTAATGACATCATCTGACTGTTAATTAATTAAAATAAGTAACAATTCCTGTAGCCTTTAAATCTTACACACGAATTGATCTTTCCTGCCTATGATTGTGGTACCACAATCTCAATATCAATCTGCCCCATAGTTCGGCCATCTTGCCCAAAAGAAGTTACCTCCCATCCAAACAGAATTGAAATCGTAGCAACACTTATTGAATACATGATTTATTAACAAATGAATACACGATTTGTTATTCAGATTGACAATCAAAAGCCATTGATACATTGATCTATTGTTCTCAACATCTTTATACTTCTTGGTAGAATATGGCATCCTGTATTGTTTACTCTCAGATTGCCCATAGGCAACGTTACAGCTTAATTAAAATGTTGGGTACACTCGTTTCATTGAATTTATGATGGGTTTGCGGTAATTCTTATTTACTCAAGTGTAATTCATTTTTAAAACAATGTTGGATTTATCTAGTATATGAAACCAACTCAGATACAATAACATTTATGATCGAGGTGATAGAGATTGTCTATCAATTACATGTTAGATACAAATTCAGCACGTTAAAAAATATTGACCCTGCGAGTTGTACTCGTAGTTAGCGTCTGATAAGCGATTAGCGATCGCTCACCTTAATAAGATAGTAATTGTAATCCTATAATATAATTCCTATAAAGGTATTAGATATGGGGCTGGCGGGTGTGGCTCTCACTGGCACTCCTCCATGCGGCTCCAGAGATGTTTTCAGTAAGTCAAAATTAGAATAGATTAGAATAGAAGTGTCGGCACTGAAGAAGTAGGCCCATGACCTGTTACCAATTCTTGAATTTTTCGTGACTTGATTCACAAGGGATCCGGCCTTTGGAACCCGATCTTTCCATAACTGATAATTGATTGAGATAGCTGCTGGACTTACTGCAAGGCTCGTAAGCTGCTAGGCATTTTAAGACTGAACATAGGCTCCTGCATAGCTTCGTCTAGTCTGTTCTTGAAGATGTTCATACTCGGAGCGTCAAAGATGCGATCAGGGAGGCTGTTCCACATGTCGGTGATGAACTTAACTTACGAAGAATACCTTTTAGCATGAATTTTTTCCATCAAAATACGCAGCAAAGTAATTTCTAACAAACTGCTTGCTTTTAACTACTCGTTTAATGATGCAGACACGACTGCTCACGAGAAGGAATGGAAAAACTTGTGTTTACGGAGCTACCAAAACTCGCTTTTCTCTCCGTTCCTGCTCAGCCATTACGAAATCAATCAGCGTTCAACGAATCCAACCGATGTTTTTGGGAATCAAATAAAGTGAGTTCTATGAAATGAATATTTTTGGACGACTTTTCATGTAAAATTCTTTATTTGTATTGAAAAGCTACATTAAATACACATTGACGTGTATGAAATTTTGAATGTTTAAAAAATCCAAAATTTTAAGAATTAAAAAACGTAACTTAAAAGTGGTTCCTAAAATTAAATTAAGCTTATTTCTTGACCTATACTTCCGACAGGCCGTTGATGATGCTGAGATACATGTTCATGCCGACTCTTTACACATACTTTGTGGAGGCCAGCGATACCGGCGCGCCTGTTCTGCGGCATCTCTTCTACGAATTCCCCAATGACACCAGTGAGCACTTGCCTCAAAAATGATGAATCATATTCATGAATGAAACAGTGCAAGTTTGATATAACTGAGGCGTAGTTCATACGACTTTATACAAATTCATTCTTGGAGCTAAATTTGCACTTATTCATAGTATTTATTTTGTTAGTGAGTAGGTTTATGCCTGTATTTCCCCTGTATCTTTAAGGTCTAACTTGTCTATTGAAAAATCTTTCGTTGGCAATAAAGTCTGATAATAACCCATCTAGCCAGGCGGAATTGAACATTCGTTTAGGACAGTTAGGTAGCGTCTTATAAAAGACTTTAAAAAACGATTTAAATGACTTGCAAGAAAATGATTTGTTTTACAGTGGCGCAGAGCATTGGTGACGAATACATGCTGGGCTCATCGTTGTTGGTGGTGCCAAACTTCGTCAACGAAAGCAACTTCGGTTCTACAACTCATGTCCCCGCATACTTCCCGCCGGGCGCTTGGTGAGATCTTTTTATGTGGACTCGAGAAAATTTCAATGGAAAATTAGATATTTGTGTTAATTAGTATAATTCGAACGTCGAATCTTACATATATGTGTCACAGTTTGTGTGAGTGTGTGTGTAGGCTTGTGTGTTATAGAAGACTGGCACAATAAATGTTTAGGGGCTGCATGTGCTTGTCCACAATATTTATCGTGTCGGCATATTACAGGAATTGAAATTTCTTTCATAGAGTAAAAAAGAAAAGATTTGACGAATGTGAGGAAGGGATTAGAACGAAAACTGAAATTTGATTTGTATTGACGAATAAAAATTTGATTTAAACGGTTATATTTTTTATATTTCTAACGAAAGTAGAATGAGTGTCTTATTTTCGATGTGAAATGTGGTTTGACGGTGGCTTTATATGTTTAGAATAGATCAAGCCAGTGCCATGAAGAGCTAACCTGCTAGTTCTCGAAAATTTCAAGATCACCAAAAACAAACTGTCATAAACTCGTGAAGTCAAATGACCAACAGCATCAAAATTTGACGATAAAATGTGATCACGTAGCTTTCGATCTTAATGTTAACTTGATATATCCTGTACTTGAACGGCAGACCAAAGCATAAATCGATGTTTTTTAATTTGAAAACAGAAATTAATTCTATGTTCTGGTTTTCAGGTACGACTTCTTCATAGGCCGCTTGATGTCCAACAGCTCCAACGGCACCGAAACAACTCTTGCTACGACGTCAACTGACATCAACGTCTTCATCCGAGGAGGAAAAATTGTCTTCTTGCAAGGAAGTCTCTCCGTCAGTAGTGTATTGCGAGGAATTTTGATCCATGAGTCTACACACTAGATAAAACTCACAAGCGTATTGCAGCTTTTCATCCGGTAACAGACAATTACTTGTAGAAGGATTAATCGTAGCGAAGGAGAGTTTTCATCGACAGTTATGTCTAATTTCCCAATCGCTATTAAAATTTATCAGTTGCATTTATGCAAGTGGAATTCAATCAATAGAAATAGACTATCAGACGGTTAGATTATTGCATGCAATCACACAATCAAATCACTGCCATCAAATATCTCTGCATGCTATCATATCACTGTACCTTTTCTTCGGCAGGAGCCGATTGCGACTGCCGAACAAATGCGAAAACTTGACTACCACATTCGCGCCGCTGTATCGTCAGACGGCGAAGCAAGCGGTAAGCTGTCCTGCTGGTCGTTTTAAAATTAATTCATTGTCCCCAAATTGTGATTGTGACACTAACTTATTAGCAATCAAGTTGGTGATCACGATAAGGGAGCATTCAACCGTATTTGTCCTCCAACCCAAAGGCCTCTAATGAGGCTAATGTAGACTCCTGAAGCAGTGAAGGCTGAATATAGTAGATCCAAGAGCAAAGCATTCAATGAAAACGGCGCCTTTGCTTGCTGTTATGAAATGATTTAATTTACACTGAAGCTCTCGATCGATGAGCTTTCCAGTATTCCAGATAAAATAGATTGAACGTGTATGAAAATCATTCCTAATTTTTGTAAAATTTTCATATTTTCCTTGTGCTGTTGACAGGCACGATGTATTACGACGACGGTGAGACATTGCGCACCGACAAGAACTACAAAGCAACGTTGCTGCAAGCCTCCCTTAGCGCCGCCGAACAGAAGCTCAGGGTAACACCTTCCGACGTGCCAGACACGAGTGGCCAGTACAGCGACGCTCAGCGCCACAGCTCTAAAATTGACACCGTCGACATATTTGGCTTACCCGAAGTTAGCAAGGTAAGTGTATGGGTGATTCTATCAGCATAGTGATATTCTGTATATGTATTGAAGAATCAGGAAATTCATCATGAATAAAGATGGTATGGAACTGAGAGAAATCTAGCCAATTGTCCTCAAATTCCGATTCATTGTTTTTATAGGATAAAATAAGTAACCGGAGTCAATTTTTTTAATGAAGCTTATTGCTGAAAAAATTTCATGACTTAATTTTAGGACTGGCATTTTGAATGTTTACCCAAAACTCAAGGTTGATCAATACGAGTGCAATGGTCCATGGATCCTTGCAGACAGATCCTGATCAAATCATTCAATAATTCACTAAAGCCATAGCACAACTGCCAAATTTTACTGATAAATAAGATTGACACTCATCCATGTAGTGTGCGATTATAATGCTAGAGCTGCAATTCACATTTACCCCCGGCAAAATGAAAGAGTGAAGATTACCAACTTCGGAGAGTCAAGACCTTATCAGAAAGTAAGTACCGGTATATAGAATGGAGTTTTCGACCATCCGGGAATCTAAGTCTTGCATTATTCCTCTGCTTAAATCATAGGTTCACCAAGAATTTAAGAGAAAATAAAACGTAACGTGGGTGAATGGTAAATTTACGAGGCGTTTTCTTTACTGCTAAATTCTTAGTAATAGTTTCTCTAATTAGCCATACACGATCTGATCGAGAAGTTATCGAACTGCAATGAGGAACACGAACTCAATAAGACTCAGGGGCGAATAACCTACTCATTGCATCAGTGACGCATTGGTCTTGCATAACCTGTGTTCTAGTATCAAAATATAAAGAATGATATGAGCTGGATTTCGTCCTGGCGCCTTATCTTAAGTATAAATAATTTTAGGATTCTCATTCATTGAAGACATTCGAAGTTCTACGAACTTGATCAGATTAATTCTATTATTTTGTTAGAAGTTTAGTTAAAGATAAAATTTGTATCCCAGGTCTACAGCAACGACCAAGAAATGAGCAGTTTCTCGCAAGATTCATCGACGGGAGCGCTTCACATAAAAGGCATTGATTTTGACTGGACTCAAGGAGAGCTCACAATCTCTTGGGAACTGAAACAATGAACTTCTTAATGCGCGGATTGATACAAGAAGTGTACGTGTTTACTCAAAAGCAATTCTATACTCAAAATGAGGTTTCAAGAGTTTTGTTATCGCACCATGAGTGAAAAACTTTGGATTCTTGTTGTCCATTCTTTTCCAATTATTGCTGTCAGAAAAAATTCTAGGTTGTTAACTTTTCACGTAACGAAAGAGTTACGTGTTAGTTATTGACTTATTGCTCGCCAAGCAAGCCGGGCATTTCGCTCACGGCTGTGTAGGTGCGCGTGAAATACACGTAAAAACAATTTGCTATTTCACCTGTGATTTTGTTCTAATATTTTTTTATTTCATATGTTAATATTTGACCCTCGTATAGTTTTTTAAGTTCCTTACTTCTGTATGTATCTGTAGGTAAGTATCTATATTCAGATTAATAAATAATAATAATAAATAATATAATAAGTTCATTCAACTGTTTTAGCGTTTGATTTCATGCGTAGCATTCAGCATTGAAATTTACGTTTCTTCTCTTCGCAGCTAATAAATCGATTTCAGTGAACATTGGAGCAACATGTAACGCACAAGCTAATTCGTCATGCCTGTCTAAGGACCAACCCAGTCCAGCGGCGTAGCGCTAATTTACCTAACCGTTTAATTAAAAAATTCATGAGCAAAGTTATTTTTAGGGCATTTTCTCTTTTATGATTTATGAAAAAAGCGCGATTGCGATCGTCATGTCCGTCTGTCTGTGACTCATGTTTTCGTCGACGAGAAAATGCGCTCTCTGTCACTCACTGCAGTGAGTACTGAGGTATATTTTTTTAGTTAACAGCGGGTCATTTGATCCGGCAGTTCCTTATCGTATGACGTGTGAAGAATCCTGGTCAAGCGCCACGTTCTTAGTACTCCTTGTGTTCTAATTTTTTTACCTAGTCCGGTGTACTAGTAAGGTAAGAATTTTTTTAATTTTGGTTTCGACTGGCTAGCCATCATACAAATTTATATTGGACTGATCAATGTAAATATTCCATCTTGTGACAGAGTCTAGAGTCAACATTACATAAGCTATATTGAAAAAAATTCCTATTTCATGGAGTAATGGATTAAGCATCGTCATTCGAACTTTCTTCTCGGTAATTGATTTTTGTCTTCTTTATCATTAGTATCTTTTTCTCTCATCATTGACTTTTTTCAACCTCATTAGCACGTTATTCTACCTTATATGCTTGAGAAAAAAACTAGGGTCGAGATGTAACCAGAACACTAAACGCAACACGTCACCTAATAAATGCCAGCTAGTATGTTTTCTTTTTACCAGAGTCAAGTTTTCAGTTTTCACATAAAAAAAATATTAATTTGTTTGAAGTCTCAGTAGTACAATAGCAATAACATTCAAGTGCCTACTTGATGCAGGAGATGCGCTGCAATTTATAAAAAAAAACATGCAAACTCAAAATGATTATCTTGACGAGCGCTGCACTCTCTAAGAATACATAAAAATTCCTTGGTATAATAAAGTGTTTGACGACAGAAAACGTAAAAATTATTTGATTAAAGTTTGGACCACAGATTAAATCGAATAATTCTGCAATATCCTCATCGCCAGGTATAGTAACATAGCCTATTAATGCAGACGCGTTTAGTTGATTAGATAGCACGTGGGTCGAGGGTCTAAACTTAACCCTGTACCGCCTGACACGAGTAACCGGAGCAATATTGTCACGCGCCTACTTCCCAGAAAGGATACTTCTAGTGAGCGCAAAATGACTTGCACTGATGGTTGCCGCCACGTACGACAACTTTAAAATTTTCTCTGTTGCGTATAAACGTCCTCAGGTTGCTACACTCAATAGTTTATGTATAATTTAAGTTGAAAGTTATGTTCCGGAGAGTGACATACGGCGGTAGAGGGTTAAATGTATTGTCTGACTGAAGTGAAGCTGAGGCGGGCAACACGCTCGTATGAGCGTAGTAATACCAATATAAAATAAATGAAGTAAACATAACATAAGATACTTTTTGACCCTTTCTACAAGATATAATAAGGAAATGGTGAAAAGAACAACGGTCGTATCTCACATTATAATTTACAAGATATTTCAGTGAAGTTCATTGATTATAAACACAAAATACTAGAGTTAAGTTAATACAAACCTTTTAAGAAACAATAAAACGCACGACATTCCTCACGGCTGACATTGTTTACGAGGTTTGCTTTATTTTCAATTTACGGGAGGCGGAGGGTTTAAGTGACGCATCCGTTCACTTATTACACGCCACGTATCCAGGAAAGTGTGAAGCTCATCGTAACTGTCCTCGTTACATTACGGTTCTTCTCTCTACCTATAAAATCTAGACGAAAAAAGAAGACCAGCCGACAAAAACAAAATTAACGAGACAAAAATTATCCAGGGGATAACAATCGATCACCAAAATTAATTACCGAAATAAATTCTTGGACCAGGTGGAGAAAAAATCTGAATGATTTTGTTGTACCCTGAAGCCAGCGTCACCACGGAACAAATGAACATTAAATAGCGACCAAATCTGGTTCGTCTGACACGAAGCCTAACAAAGCATGAACAAATTCAATGAGACTCAGGACAAATAATGTACAAAGGAAACGTTATCGAGAAGCTTTAAAAATACTGTAGTAATCTAAAGGCAGTGAATTTTTACAACTTAAAAAGTAATAAAGATACATAACAACATGCAGACCTTGATACACAGCGCGGGCGCGAGTCGATTCTTTGACTAAGGATGTACCGCCATCACAAATTTTAGCCGGCCAACTCAATTGAAAAAAATGAAATCGCCTAATTTGTCAGCACAAAAAGACCATCTGGCAACCCTGGGCCCAAGTGGCACACTGTTATGATTGGAGGAAATAATGAATAGATTTGTTATTATAATGAAAAAATAGGTTGGATATCATTGTTCTGGTATCCCGGGGACACAAACTTCTTTACACTATAACGGATTCTTCGTTAATTGCCGAGTGTTCCCATACTGTCAGTAAAAAGCTTAACTTCAAATGAAAAAAGCCTGCATAAATAATGTCATTCGATTTATATCAACGAACTTCCGACGTTCGACCTTCGGGAAAACAGGAAAATTCTAGAAATTTGAATGATTTTCAAAAAATTTCAAAGGAAACCTATAATAATTTCAGGAAGAATTATAGCGCATAAACCATTTTGAGAGGATCGAAGTCAAATCTATCAGTTGCCGCGAAAATTCCGTGTCACATTCAGCTAAGTAGAAATTTGATAGAAACGACTAAATCGCTCGAACAAAATTTGAGAGTGAAACAAATTTCACCAAAATTATGCATGCAAATGAATCAGCTCAGCCAGCACCAGCACCCTGTTATATCATGGCTTCTGGTTTCATATCGGGCAACATTTCAAAATATATACGTTACACAAAAAAGGCTGGAATTTGAATTATTATTAGAATGGATGCCCGTGTTAAAAGTAATTTTAATTAGATGGTCTCTGTATGGGGTCATTAATTCTGAGAAAGATCGACTGTTTTTACCGCCGCCCCAAAGAATACGTAAGATGGGTTAACTCGAGCCAAGGAAGTAAAATGAAAGTAAGCAAGACAATTTACACCGCTTCGGAGCGCCAGATTTAATAGTTTAACAAACATTTAATGATTAAACGCAAGATTTAATAATTTCTAATAAAACGCATGTAATTCAAACGCAAGATTTAATAATTTAACGAACATTAAATCATTGCAGACGTGTGGTAAGAAGTCTCGACATGGTAGCGCCGAATTAGTTCGAAGTAAACAGAGTTAGCAACATAGAAAATAAAACGAAACACAAAAGACGAATCTACAGGACACAAATGAAGGCAGCCACAAAAGAGGTTGCCGACATGAGATGCACTAGAGACAGATAAGAGGAAAAATTTTCACTAACATGAGATGGCATATACCCGCACTAGAGAAAGATTAGAGGCGAACCTGAAACACGCAGTCACGCACTTCTAACTTAGTGTGGATCGTTCAAGAGGTGTGATAGTAACAAGAAAGTCGTAAACTTATGTAAACTTCACTTTTGATGAGTAGCTTTTCTAACAGCAAGACACTTGAGCTCTCTCACACACACACACACACACACACACACACACACAACTGCCGTCTATGGACTACCTAGTTAGTTAGTTAGTTTAGTGGCCACATGTTTACTAGCGCTTCAGCTATTTAGCTATCTCGCACCGAAAGTCATGTTGAACATCACCAAAGAGGTGGAAGGTACTACCTAGCATATCTTACACAGCTACAGGCGACATCAGTTTCACTGCACTCCGATATGATACAATACGTTTAATTAATATTATGCTATGCGTCGTTAGACCTCAACAACGCCGTTCACTCTTAATGAAGAAAATCATAACTTATTTCATACATCAGACTAAACGATTCGCGGCGCATAAAGCACAATTCTGACCTAAAAACTTCAGTGATCGAGGCAAATAGCGAGTTATTTTCTACCGCAATAACTTGTGTTTGTTATGAAGTAACAGCGCAGTCTCCTATGTCAATAATTATTGTTAAATTAAATAACGCTTATCGTTCCTATGCTGAACATATCTAGTGTTCGCTATATGCAAGGTTCAAATAGCAATCGTACTATACATAGTCAAGTGTTAAATGTACAAGGAGACACCCCCACACCTCACCATCATCATGACATAAGATCCTTCACTTCAGCTCGAGTAGATCTCAGAACATGGATTCAAATCATGATTGTTTCTTTATGCGTACTTACCTAATCACACAATTTGAGAGTAAGTTTAGAAGACAAAAATGCGATTAATATAATATGAATTATTTAGAATGAAATCAATCATCATACAGCGTCGGCATAATTTTTCATCAGTTAATAATTTTTCATCAGTTATAAATCGCCGATGTGCCACCACTACAAAAGAATAGGTTGCCTAACCGAAATTGGAAGAGAATAAGAGGATTTTGGAAATAATTGTTAGGTTTTGAATTTAATTTGAATTTAAAAGAAAACTATGCAGGCCTATGATTGCCGTAAAGACATTGATCTTGTGTATTCATCTGGACGCAACACCTTTGAATTTTATTACGTTAGGCGGCAGCATGAGGCGATCGAGCTCTTTGTTTAGTTGAACTCAACAATTACTGCACTTTCAGTTGAATTGAAGTAACCACCATCCCAAATTTTAGCCGGCCAACGTTACTGAAAAAAATTAAATCGCTGAATTTGTCCGAAAAAAAAAAACCATCGGCAACCTTTGGCCCAAATAGAATGAAGAGAGACATTGTTAAAAAAGAAGTAATAATAAAGCAATATTAGACGTATTAGTAATAACAGCAAAAATTTTAGTCGAGCCCAAGAATTGCAGTCGACACCTACGATGACATTTACAAGAAAAATTATCTGATGGAATCGAGACGGGGAAAGACGGGGAAAGACGGGGAAAGACGGGCTGACTTTAAGTAGAAATTCGTTATTTCGTCCGCGGATTTTCAACGCATGATAGTTGACCAGCTCCTACTTCTGAATTATACACTAGAAACAGCACGCGTCATGATAAATTAAAACACACAAAGATACAAAACAGCGGGTCCTATGATATTCTCGCTCATATTTAAATTATCCCTTCATTGATGATCGCTCAGTCCGTGCTCTAAAAAAC